TACACCAAAACAGGTGACTCTCAATTATATTTATTTGGCCTTAGTTTTAATTTCTGCCTTGTTTGGATTGAACATGCCATTGGAAGCTTTTCCCGTCCGCAGCGGTAGAGTCAGGGAAGCTGCATGAGAGGTTCGAGCAAATCTTATTTTTCGGTGAGACAATAATGTATGTCGGTATGTGTATCGGTATGGATGTAAGAGTTGGCTTGGAAGGGGAAAACCAAGGATTATCGAGGCTTTCTTTAGGTACCCAATGAACACCATCTCGCTGTCTGATGAAGCAAACGGAGTCATGTAGGTGGTAGTCTTGGGCTTCAATCACTATATCGGGCCTGAGAATCAGATATCTGTAAGTTTGTTGCATGGAGGTACAAGTAAAGCAGCATTCAATCTGTTCCCAATACATGAGCTGAGATGAGATATCGATAAAGACGTTGTATACATCCCTGCTTCCCCGGACCACTCATTGCACAGATAAGCATCACAAGGTTTAGGATATCCCCTCAAAAGGTTGGCCGTGATAAAAAAGAAAGAAAAGCAAGGCTGCTGTACTCCGAAGTCTTTTTTCGTGGGAGTTCTTGCCAGAGAATTGGGTTATCAAAAAATCCATTTAGTTGTAAATACTCTAGACTTATGAAAACAGTCCTCTTCAAAGTCCAACGAGCAAATGGCCATGGAAATTGATCGTCCAGAGTATCGATGAATTGGGGAGAATGTTGTACATCGCACATCGTAGGAATGGATGCAAGGAGGCAAGGAAACCTTGAAAGCTGGAAAGTACATTCACATGCAACGCTAAAAGTGCTGGTATAGCATCTTGGTGTGACCCGACGGTTCGGAATTGCCTGTGTGAGATACGTGAAACTTGTTAAGATGTAGGGGATAGGAAATACGGAGGATATCTTTTTCTGGGGGGTATCAAAACTTAAATAACGAGGCTCGAGCGAGGATTAGACGGCTGGATGGTCAGATGAGAAATGAGGGCTGGGAAAAAATAGTAGATTGAATGGAAGAGACGACGAAGAGAAAAAAGTTATCGCGTCTTGGGGAGCATCAGTACGTGGATTCGCGTGATTCGTGTAAAAAGACTGTAACTGATTTCGCAAAAATCTATACTAGGTATTGGAAATTCACAATGATCCGGTTTCAAAATGCTGTTCAAGAGAAACTGTTCAAGAGAAATTGTAGGTTCAATAGAATCTCATATTCGTCTTGTTTCCCAAGGGTTGAAGATATACATACTGTCCCATGAGTTCATGCGCCACTAGTGGACTGTTACTTTTGAGACCACCAGGACTAGAGTATTTGTTTATTAGTTTAAAATATTATCATAGATCCTTACAACTCTGCTTTACTCTAAACTGATATCCCGTATAGCCTCCGCAATGATCGAACTTCCACCCCCACGAACCAATACCTCATTATGCAACGCACTTTGAATGACTTCTCTCTTCACCTCAAACGCAAGATCCGAGCACCTCTTCTCTAGCATACCTCCATGCGATTCCGGCACCAGCTCATCTTTTCCAGCTTGCAAAATAAGAACCTGTGGTGGTCTTGAACCAAATTTGTGAGTTCGCTCGTGCAATTCGCCCAGAGCTTTCCAACTATCAAGGTGGTTTCTCAAAAATGGGTGAAGATGTCGATATGGAAGCCATTTTTGTGGATAGAGTGTCTCTAGCATAGCTTTACTATAAGTATGATACAGATTAATCTCATACTATCAAGGATTGTCGGGAACGGAATACTTACATGCCCAGAAAGGGGGTCTCCAGGATCAATTTCTGCAGACGTAATTCGTCTGAGAATATTTCATTCTTCGCTGCCAAACCTGTGACAATTCCCGCTCCTATACTTTGACCCCAAAGAACAATATCGCATCCGTCTGAGCCTGGTCGTGCTTCAAGATCTTCCTTAACCCATCGCATGGTAGCTTCTGCATCTTTCATGAGTCCCTTTTCCGATGGCCTCCCTCGAGATTTCCAATACCCTCTATAGCTGCAACATACAAATACGTATTGTACAGACTCGCTGTGGGCAGGCGACATTTTTTCCAGTTTTCGTGGAACCGTAGAGAGGAAAGGAAGTCTTGGTGGTAACGATGCTGCATTACCTGTAGTTATGTGAATATGTATAACGACACAACAAAAACAGGAAATGACAACCTTGGAAATATAAGACATAGACTATTCGCCTTCTACCTTGATCTTTTGTAGCACTGCCACAAGATACCTCTGCGACACATAGGCTGATAGCAGTATTATCTGTAGATCTGATTTTCTCTTCCCTCCATTTTATACCCAGACATTCTTTTTGGTAATTTGCGATAGTTTCTTGTCTAGAATTTGGAGGCAATCCGGGCTATTTCTACAACATGAGACATGTAGAACAAGATAATATAAGAGCGCTTACCATGTATATGATTTTATTTTGAAATGTTACCATCATGAAGCATTTCCCTACCTTGACTTAGCATAGAAATTCTGGGTTGGAGTGCCAGATAGGAAGATAGAAATACGTTGCATTGTGTAATACAACGTACATGGGCTTAAAAAAAGAACAAATCAAGAACTTTCCTCGGTCTGATCTCGATTCACAAAGGGAAATCATGGACTTCATGATCAATGAAGAGTACCAAACTTTCAATGCTCCCAGACGTCCCGAGTCGTTGCCCTTCAAATATCACACAAGACCATATAGAACCTTACTCACAAGTCCACATCGCAACCCCCAATCCCAAGAAATACAAAGGCGGAACAAGAACCATAGGCACTTCAAAAAATCCACGCCGTTGAAACTGTCCATATCCATGAGGCTTTCGTAAAATACACCTTGCCTGTTGAACAGGGAAACGAGCCGCCCGAAACATTCTGACTCAACGTTTCATTCAGTATCAAGTATTTATTGATTCTTTGACTCATCGGGGTTCTCATGAACTGATAAAGCCATTCATCCGCATTGTCACTATTGAGAATTTTCTTTTTTAGATTGTGTAGACATCCATGGATTTCACTTACTGTCAAGTTTCATCAGCCACACTTCGCTCGTGAACCACGCGAGCCACACCTTTCATCGGAACCTTTAACCCCTCGCCTCCCCACCAAATACCATCTTATCAGGCTAATGATGCAAAATTGGCCCGAGACTAGGTAGAAACAGCGAGTATCTCTTCGAATCGAACAAGAATAGAATTCTAATAAGATAAGGAAACTCTATATTTTCAATTCACTTGAGAATATTCAAGCCTCAAGGACTTTTACATTGCTATTGATAGAAAATCATATGAGATTCAAATTACGCGGACATCAAATTTCGAGTGTCTAGGTAAAGTTACAAATTATCTTCGAATACCTACCGACACCAATTCCGGTAATTACCTATATAAGTCAGCACAAGTTAAATTTCTGGCGTCACTCCACTGCAAGCACAACAACAAACAAACAAACATACATACATACACACCCCTCCATACACTAGCAAATTTTATTTCAACACAACACAGCAGACTTCGCTGTAGAAGCTTACAAAACGGTATCCAAACGATCACTATGTCGAACGAAGAAGATAAAACGGCGACCAGTCTATCGCATATTTCCATCAACGGGGAAGACGTCGCAGGACATGATGCGCAAGAATCTACCCCTCCTCGTAGCAGCAGTGGCTGGGACGGAAAGTTACGTGTAGAAAAAGAAAAGGGCAAGAAGTTAGAGCTTGCTAACCCGGAAGCTATATCTGATCCTGAATATTCGGATGAGGAGAATGTTATGCCGGGGGAAGTTATTAATGCAGATGAAGGTATACATCCCTTTATTCGCCCTGGTCAAAGATATCTCATTTCTTCTACATACTGATATCACAAAGATCTCCTTGACGATTATCCCCTCGATACCGAAGAAATCGACCTAGTACATGCACGCATTTCCTCCATCCCTTCCCTCCGTCTTTCACGCTTCACCCAAATCCAACGTCTTTGTCTTCGTCAAAACACGATCAGTACAATCGAAGATCTCTCTTGCCTCGCATCCACTCTCACCGATCTCGATCTATACGACAACCTAATCGCGCATATTCGGGGACTCGAAGATCTCATCAACCTCACCTCCCTCGACCTCTCCTTCAACAAATTAAAACACATCAAGAAACTAAACCATCTCACTTCCCTCACCGACCTCTATTTCGTACAGAACAAAATAACCACCATCGAGAACCTCGAAGGCCTCTCCAAGCTGCGCAACTTAGAACTAGCCGCAAATCGAATTCGGGAAATTCAAGGTTTAGACACTTTAACAGGATTAGAGGAACTATGGCTGGGCAAGAACAAGATTACCGAGATGAAGAATCTAGACGCATTGCAAAACTTGAAGATTCTGAGTATCCAAAGTAATCGCATTCGAGATATTACGGGTCTGGACAAACTTTCGGGTCTGGAAGAATTATACATCTCGCACAATGCTCTTAGTTCACTCTCGGGTCTGGAATCTTGTTCTCAGTTGCGCGTGCTGGATATTTCAAATAACGAAGTATCCTCTCTCAAGGGGCTGGAGGGACTAAAGCAATTAGAAGAGGTATGGGCTAGTTACAATAAAATCGCGGATTTCAACGATGTGGAGGAACATTTGAAGGACAAGGAGAAGTTGAATACGGTTTATTTTGAGGGAAATCCTTTGCAGTTGAAAGGGCCAGCGTTGTATCGAAATAAGGTGCGCTTGACGTTACCACAGGTTATGCAGATTGATGCTAGTAAGTTTCCTCTTCTCATATCATAGGTGTGGACTTATGTGCTAACGTACGACAGCTTTTGTTAGGGTTTCATAGAATATGCTTTGTGCAGGCAGGAGGTTGGCGTGTATAAATGGGAAGGTGGTCAGAGGTGTATTTGTGCACATACATGGCATAGATATGTTGTAGCATGGCGAAGGAGTTATTGGTGGGAATCAATGGGTTTCATGGATATCACAGCGTGCGTACACGTAGGAGCACATTGCAGAGTGGATATAGAATTTCACGGGTGGAACGATTGCTTTTGTTCAACGCTTCAAATATCTAGATATTCTCGCAAGAAATGAAGCGGTCAAAAGCGCAGCAAATTTTGTCACAACAACCTTTATCATCTTTTTCATGCTTATGCGAAGATATGTAATGTTCCGAGATACTAAAAGGTCGGCTGTTAGTAAGGGGAACACTAACAATAAGCTTCGATGGCAAAAGTATAAACTTACATCAGTAGGGTTGTTGAATCTCAAATTTCGGTCTAATTTAGTAATGGAATCCAAATCTTCCTTCTCTAGATCAAAATCGGTAACATGCAAGTTTTGTTCCAGACGGGATTGGTTGTTGGATTTGGGGATGACGGCGAGACCACGTTGGGTTGCCCAGCTGTAGGAGGTTAGCATTGCTTGACGGTATAGGAAGGATTAAAGAAGAGGAAAAGGAGAGGATTTACCGTAATAAAACTTGAGCAGGAGTCTTCTTGGTCTTCTCAGCAATCTTCAAGATATCTGGGTGCTCGAAAAGAGGTGGAGTCTTTTGAGCGTGGTCCCATCCAAGCTCGATGAATGATTGCGGACCGAACGATGAGCTAGATATATGAATTAGTATACGATTTCCCTTCCTCAAGTCTCCAGAAGGAAAGAAAACTCACTAAGCAGTAACCTTGATTCCCTCACTCTCGGCCAACTTCAACAAAGTACTCTGCACCAAATATGGATGATGTTCAATCTGCAACGTCGCCGGTCGAATTCTCGCATATCTCAACAAATCCATCAACAAGGCTCCTTGGAAATTGCTCACTCCGATACTCTTCGTCAAACCCTCATCGACCAATTTCTCCATCGCCTGCCAGGTCTCCTGAATACTGGCTTTGGATTGTTGCACATCGCCTTCCTTGTCGCTGTACTGCCATCCGGGTGGATAACGCACAGATGGATCTACATAGCGCAGCGCCACGGGGAAATGCACAATAAACAAATCGAAATAATCAATACCCCAGTCTGCGAGCTGTTTGCGGGTGATGGGTCCCACGCGGTCGCCGTCGTGGAAGGAATTCCAGAGTTTGGAGACGATGAAGAGGTCTTCGCGTTTGACGATGCCTTCTTTGATGGCGCGGGCGACTCCTTGTCCGGCCTCGACTTCGTTGCCGTAGTCTAGGGTGCTTGGTTAGTTGATGCTTTGGGGAGATTTGAGAGGGGAGGAGGGGAATTACCGCATGCTCCGTCGAATAGTCGATATCCGGTTTTGATGGCATTGTAGACTGTGTCGGCGCAAGTGGCATTGTCGACTTTCCACAAGCCGAAACCGACTTGTGGCATTTCATGGCCGGAATTGAGTTTGAGGGTTGGGGAAGCCATGATTATTGCGAGTTTCTTGGGTATGGAGTTTTGAGGAACGGGATGAAAATTGTTTGGATGGGAGAGATGGAGAGAGGTGGTGTTTTGTTTAATATGAAGTGTTTCTTTCTTTCCTTCTTTCTTTCCTCTTGGAGAGCGGGGTTAATAAGTAACTTATTAGATAAATGATGAGAAGGTGGGATGGTGGGGTGTGGAGGTGGGGCTAATCCTACAAAGTCGAGAGAAGAAACTCGTGGAAAGGTTGGATGGTACGATATGCGTGAATTTGATTGTTTGATTGTTTAATATAGATTCAATTATTCTCTTATTCCAATCTATTCACACTTTTTCCACTTCATAAGTAGGTAGGTATATGCAACAATCCATTCCTTCTTCAATGTTGCAATCCCTCGCTTCTTCCCATAGATTATCATCTTCCCATCAAAGCGTAACCCCGCTCTTAACAATCCCACCACACGCCACCACCAACAACAGGATAAAAATACATCCTCTTCATTCTCTTCATATACCTCTCACAACAATCTCGTGAATAAACCCTACACTATCCCCTACATCTGTACCTCCGTTTTGCATGCATCAAAGTACCGAAATACATAATACGAATTCTCATTTCCGAAAGGATAGTCCCGCTTGAGGCTGAATGCAAGTAAAAACTTTGCTCTTTAGCCTAAATGGTAAGTTTCGGCGAATTTAGTGATCGTTCCGGTCTGTGGTTGGTGGAGGATTGCATGCGATTGATATGTTTGGGTGAAAGGGATTTTAGCATGATTGAATTGGGTGGCTTGGTATATGGAGGATGTTGGTCCGCATTTGAATTGGGTATGGTTGTACATGTACATGTCCATGTGGGTGTGGAACGTGGATTTGGTAATGGGTACTGATGGATTGGTGGGCTGGTTAGCGAGGTGTGTTCAGGGGGTAGATATGAAGTGGACAGCGGGTTTCAGTAGAGGAGTTCCTACTCTTTGGAACGGGATTAGTGTCTCGATGTTCAAGTTTGCTTCTTTTTGCCTGTTCGTGGATCGGTGTTTTGCCTTTTTGCGTTTTGGAATTTATTCTCGAAAATCAGAAGGGATGTTACATTAACATCGGTAGAGTCGTTGCACAGGGTCAAAACTAGGAGTGACCTTTGCAAATACTTCTCTGTTGACAGTTGTCTCTTGATTTGAGAAAAAAAGAGATAGACATTAGGGTTATCCTAGAGGAACTGGTGGTGATGATACGTGGAGCTAATGATACATAAAGCTGACTATTGCTGTTCGTGTTTTCGGTAGAATTTGGTTATCATGTTTTGGAGGTTTGATGCTGGTCTGCGAAAAGAAAAATGGAGACCACGAATTGCATTCATTGCAGATCAGAAAAGCGGGTTGTTTTGGATGCTAAATGTCCTCTGCTTTGGAGAGAATTTCTAATGAGTCCTGCGAACACTGTGTGCTTTGGAGATGTCAAGTCTTTCAATGAGTCGAAGATCAAGGAGTGAACTTCATGATGGTTTAGTGAAACAAGGAAATCTGCATCATGGATTCATCTTGAACTATTTACATAGACATCCCATCAATTTTTAGCAAGCCAACTATTATGTTTTTAGAATTCATCGATCTCCTCATCAATTGGGTGCAACTTTTTCGTAGATTTCTGCTTTTCAACCCGTGCGAGTTCGTACGAATACTTTTCAGCCTTCTCTGCGATTGAAAACTTGCCGGTGATCTTGTAAAGCCCAACATATCTAAAGAAAACCGGTGGCGCGTGAACAGAATCAGAGTGCGCTCCACGAATGGCCAGAATCCATACGTTCTTCTCAAAGCTCAAATCCATCAAATCCGTATCGTCGCCCCAATATCCAAATTTCTTATACTTTAGTTAGCCAAATTCCTATTATTCCATGAGAATACTAATACACGTCACCCTTTTGGATGTTCTCGTAGCCCTCATTCTTGCCACCCCCAGAACCCAAAATGATAGACACAACTTCCACACTAGCCTTTCCACCTATTCCCTCTCTATGAACGCATATACCCTATCTCTCTGCTAGTCAAGTGGATAATGCCAGCAATCCCTGACAACCCGGCCATTATAACCTTCCGCATACACATCCCTTTCATCATCCTTCCATTTTATGTATTTTCCCAGCCGCTGGAATTCCACCCCCCGAAACATGTAGCTCTCTACATATTCGACGACATCGGGGTTTAAAGTATTGAGTCTGTCGATAGCATCAAAGTCGACTTTTGGATTCTCGATATCGGTAGAAGTCGGAAGCACAGATATTGTTTTGGAGGAGTTTTCATAAGTGGGTGTGGTGTGAGGTTTGTGGTATGAGGTTTGCGGTGTGCTGTGTGTGGTTCTTGTGAAATTACTCTTGCGGAAGCAAAATAGGCTTCTACAATGTAGAAGAATATTACAAAACTTTAAGTTGCGAAGATATTCAAAGAGTTTTGATATAAATTTGGCCAATTTATGCGGTAATGGTCATTTGTTCGCTATTTGTTTCGTTTGATTTGTATTGTAATAGCTGTGTAATTTCATATCAGACGTTCATTGAGTGAGTCATTAATACCATGAATAGATAGATCATGAGTCTCCAGAGACTAGGGTCAAAATTTCTCTTAGAAGAGTTCAAAGGTTGAAGAAAAGACTCCAGAACTCACATAGCCGAGTCGTTACGGCATCTGATTGGTTAGCTCAGCAGAAGCTCTGATTTGCCTGTCTTCTGGACTTGACAGTTTAGAGATGTGCTGAGTAGATATATCTTTACATGCTGGATTGAGCTATAATACAGTAGATGAAACAAGCACCCAATCAATTTAAGTCATGCATCTCGAACAAAATCTAAGGACTTTCATGTCTCTCTTCAACTCAAGACCTTCAGCATCCAGATTGCGTCGACATCTCTTCTAAGACGAGACTCTTTCCTACGGCCAGCTGAAATAATATTATATCCGTTGCAATCGACTTCATAGTTTTTGATGTAAGCTGACATAGGTTAATCCATATATGTTAAATCGATTAATCCTCATCCACGCTTCCCCCTCATACAACCACTACTATCTGGTATAGAGAGAGGTAAAAAAGTAACATGACATTATATTTAACACCAGAAACTTCTTATTTTCACCAAGAAGCCCTGAATATACAATCATATAATCAACCCGAGTCCTTGGCATTTGGCAGTCCTCCTCAAGCAAATCTCAACTAGATGCCCAGAAAGCTAAAATGCACTTTCAAATCAAGTCCATATTCCTATGATATTGTACTTGCAGTCTCTTTACTGTCTACATTTTTCAGCAAGTACAATCTCAATAACAATATTTCATGCTCTTGTGTTGAAAAATATTCGGTCGGCAGACGATAATAGTCAGCGAATCATGATCGCTTCTTTCCAGCTGGGCAATATGTAACAACACGGATTGTAGGAAGAATGAAAATGATTCACTGGAAAAGAACCTGCAAAAGACAAGAATACTCCGATGTTGTTTACTTACCTACCTACTGATATACATTCAAATCAAATCATGACCCCATAATTCAAAAACAAATATCAAACCAGCAAAAATATACCGACCCGCATGGGACTCGAACCCACAGCCTTTGCTACCGGAAAGCAATGCGCTACCATTGCGCCAGCGGGCCATTCATACAGAATTATTCTGAAGAGACTGCTGGTTTTTGGATATATCAAGGTACTTTGTCTTGGTACTGTTTGGTGAAATAATACAACCCACTGATTCAGAAGGAACCAATCTGACCGTAGATAACTCCCCGTCATAAAAGTGGCTTGGATAAGGAACGTAAACCGAATACAAGAAAGGGGAAATGAGACTTTCGCTTTCCAGTCAGCAAATGCTGTATCCATTCTCATTTTAAATGTAACAGCAAAAACATGCGAAGGTCCAACAAATTTCAATTCAGAAATTGGTTCTGTAACTTTTGGGATCGACTCATGTTCTTGTCAACTTGATCAGGAGAGTTGGGATTGTTTTCGACTCTTACGATTCCAGAGAGTTTTTCATTCCGCTTATCTGTTCACGATATGATCAGATCACTAACGTTGATGTCTTGAAGTATCTCATCCGGAGTGTTTGCACTAGACATGATATTTGTCGATCTGTGTATCTCAGAAGATTGAAGTGTCAAAGCCCTGCCTCAAAGGTCGTCAGATGAGGGGAAGGAAGATATGAAGAAAAGGGGAACATCGACGCTCATGTACATTTCTAGTAAGTAAAATCATCCAATCTTACCCTTGGATATCCAGGTTCAAATCGTGGCCGAAGGTGTTTGGTCGACTAGGTTTCCAAGACTGACACTCATTCAAACACGCCCGAGAAAGATCAATTATCAATTATCCTTATATCATTCATATTGGAATTCTGTATGCCAGATTATGTACTTTAAACCCATCCCGTCTAACCAATTAAGCTTGTACCTCCTGTTCCTTCCTTCATAAGATGATTATCATATCAATCGTCAACCAGAGAATACTCCCAAATCAAACAAACAATAAAGAGCGTCCAGGGTATCCCATTACAAATTTCCCAACACTAAATTAATTTCGCATATCCTCATCCACTACCAACTAAATGTCATCATTTCCGGGTTCAGCGCCACTGGCAGAAGTAAATGACTAGCAACCATGACCCCCAGAGGAAAGATCGCAATGAACTCATCGATGTTGTAACTCCAGGGTAAGAAAGGAGCTTTTGCCATGATGACCATCAACACGATACCGAATATACACATTAAGTATGTGTACTTGAAGGTCTTGAGAATCTTGGGGACTTCGAGGAAGAAATTGGAAAATTCAACTTCTTTTGACGTGGCACCCCATGTCATGTTGATCTCAAACATGTGGCAGAGAAGCGCTTGGGACATGTGAAGGGATACACCACCGAAGAATATCATGAACATGAAACACCATTTTAAGTTTTCAAGGACTAGAAAGGAGTACGTTAGTTTGAGGGCCTTGGATGAATGTAGAGAGATAGATGGAGAAGAGAGTGAAGATGAAATTAGAAAGACTTACTAGCAGGAAGGAAGGATTTTTCACCAGAACGATGACGTTGTACGGCAAGACCGACATTACCCGCGCCAGTAAACACCACAGTGATTGCGAGCCAATTTTGCCATGAATCGACATAAGCACGATCGAGATATCCATTCCAAAGACCAACGAATACGTAATTTGCAAGACAAATTAACCATGCACTACCCAATGCATAGTATGTACCGATGTACGCAACGATTTGAACTTTTGAGCCAATGTCGATACTGGAACAGATGAATTTACGGAAGAGAGGTGTGAACGGAGACTTCCATAACCATGTTCTGATAGGGTTGAACATAAGCTCGTTGCATCCATAAGCTATCAAAAGGTTAGCAAGATTAAAAAGCGTGAGAGATGATTGAGCTTACCATATTTTTGCCAGCGTGTCAATTCATCGTAAACAGTGAGAGATACACCTTCTTTGAATCCATCACCAGCCCAGGCGGCCATGCGGATGGTATAGTGCTTAAGTTGTAATCGTAGAGCCATGTCAAAGTCCTCAGAGACACAGGACTCAGACCAGAATCGTTCATGACCTTCTTCATCCTCGAAAGCAATCTCTTGGATAGCAGACCATCGGAGGATTGCATTGTGGCCTACAAAAGCTGCTACGCCACCATTGGCAACACCGTAACGAATAGCAGAGTAGATGAGATTTGTGAAGAAAGTAATGCCATTTTCGAAAAAGTTGTGCGATACTTGCATGACAGCAGAAGAGAATTGAATGATGCCGACGTCTGGAGATTGTTCCATTTCGCTAGCAGCATCAAGCAAGCAATCTTCTGGAACCTGGGTATCGGAGTCAATGAGCAGAATGTAGTCACCAATTCTGATATTGCCTTCAGCCCATGCTTCAGGGTTCTCATCAAGAACGTCCGACATGCAAGATTCAAAAGCTGCAACCTCATCAACCTGAGTCCAGGTAGCTGGTCTTTCAATATCTTGAAGTTTCTCTTCAATGGAATTGGATAAGGCAAGTCCGTAGTTCATGTTTGAGGCCTTCTTGAATTTTCCTTTACGTTCGTATCCATTTTGACCGTTGGGAGGACGGGCTGTCCAGCCAATACCATGATCAGCGTAAAAGTCAATTCTTTGTTGTCGAGTAGCTTCATCAAGAAGTTGAAGACCGTCGTCGTTGATAAATATATTTGCAGAGCCTCCTTGCAATTCGTAGGTAGAAATTGCTTTTTTGATTGAGGAGACTGTTGGAGCAATGACGGCAGCCAAGCCTTCCTTATACACAGGACATTGAATGGTGACATGTGGTAGTGTGGTGGTTAGAAGACGAGGAGGTGCTTTCGCAGAGAAGAACTTGGTGTTCTTATTCAGTTGCTGAATTGGACCGAAGCACTGCATGAGAACTCCGATTACAACGTTTGTGAAGAACTATCTAACGTTAGCAACCATAGAGATGGATCTTGATATTGCGGAGAACATACCAAGGAAAAGAAGCAATAAATTGGAGTGACAATCAGGTAGCAAAGAGATATCCAATGCTTCAATACTACGACTTCTATTGCCAGCTGAGCGTATCCTAAACCCATGATACAAACCAGAAGGCAGATTGAACAAGAGACCATGAATGAATTGAGGTACATGGTCGGTCTCTCTTCAACGATAGACTGCCCTGACTCTTCGTCAAGCTCGCGGACTTGAGTTCGAGGTTGTGTTTCATTCTTTTCATGTTCTGTTGCATTCCAGATAGTCTGCAGTAGACCGTCTTCGATTGCTTTGGCTCTATCAAACAGTAGTGTTGGATCATCTTCCCAAACAACGAGAAGAGCTTCTCTAGCAATGAAAGCAGCATAGTGAGCTCTGCGAGCACGGGGAAGATCTTCAAGTGTTGGTAGAATTTGAACTCGAAGACCATTGGTAAGAGGGACATCAAGAGCGTCGGGCGATCTTGTCAGAAATGGTTGAACGACGGTGGAGTTGATGGTCATAGCAGCCTAGACCCTACATTAGTATCGTGTTTTCTGGCTAATGTTAAGCTTAAAGAGTGAAACTTACAGAAACGTTCATGATCTTCATCGCCCTACCAAAGGTGGAGCTAGCTAGTGCTGGAGGACGACAGAGATATTCTGTCCTATCTTTGCGTACCATGACACCCTCATGCTGACCTGAATCATCCATAATCCACATCAGACCTCTTTGCTTCTGCCAAAGATAGTTAAGAATAACTTGATGTCTGATATCATCTAAACGATTGTTGCTATACAAGCTTTGCCTGCTCGATGCAGTAGGTGATGGGTCTGAATAGCCATGACGGGGAGAATCATTTTGAATGACAGAATTTGGGTCAGCTGGAGCTTTCTCTTTGCTTGATTCAGACTTCTCAGGCTTTGAGATCTTGAAATAGCTAAGAACACCCATGATTAAGAGAGCTTTAAAGAAGGTGGCTCAAGTAACGAAAGTGGTTTGCACGACGATGAGAGAAGAGAAACAGATAGACACATTGACGAAGACACAAACACATAATATAGATGCCCACAAGAAGGCGACACCGATAGCCTACCATTTTTGCATGCCAGCTCAAGATAGACACAGAGCCAGCCTTCAGCCAGACGGGAATATTTCATGGGTTTGATCGGAGCACCACCTACATGATAGCGTCTAGAACTGAGCGTAAATTGAGAAAAGCACGAACGTGGATTTCGACCCCAGTCCAATCGATATCCCCCGAAAAGCACTTTGGTACTTTTGACAGCTTTCCGCCGATCACCCTGAATCCCAGAAGATTTTCCTCAAAGTTTCCACTTTAATTCCATTGAACACAGCCAAACTCTCAGAAGTATGCATAAACATCGGACCGGCCAGTTTCCGAAAGCATGTTGTATTTCGAGCAGAGCTTCGTCAATTACTTGGAGCTATCCTTGGGGAGATCTATCGCTTGATAATGATCTAGGTCGTATAAGACAAGGAATATCTGCAACTCAAAGTGTCGACAGGGAGAAGAACACTCGCACAATCTGGTCCACAGGCATCGCTTCTGTTGAGACTCGAGCAAAACCAGCTGAGTTGAAGCGATGTTGGCCTATAGTGCCGTTGTACATACGGTGAGGGGATTTTTGCCTGCATGGAAGTATTGAACTCTATAATTGGACAGCAAGGGCAAACAAAATCATCCAGGGTTGCTTATCAGTATACGGTCGTATCAACCAGGGAATTCTAATCTCTCGCGATGCATGTTGCAACAACTGAATGCGGTTTTTGACAGGCCAATGGTATTTCAATAGTTAGTAGGGTCGCAGACGCGTCTGGCTAATATGGATTGTCGTTTATTTCTGACTTTGAGGCTATCGATCTTCAATGGTACTATCTTCCAAAATCAGCGGTTCATCCGTCTGACAGTTGGAGAATTATCGAATTAGGAAATGATACGCTCGAAATGGTCCAATCTCATGCCAAACAAGGAAGCTTATCGCCTAGCATCACGAAATTGGAAATCAGATTGAAAAAAATGGTAGATCCAACGTGGCAGCCATATCTTGCCCTGTCCTACTCGCTTGCATCCGTTTAAAGAAATGGATTACAAATCCACCTAGAAGGCTGAATCTGGGTACAACACCGTTCCAAAGCTCAGCTGGAGATGAAAAGATTCTTCTACGCTGTGTCTAGGTAACCAGTTTGAGCGATATTCTGCGAAAATTGGACGAACACGATGTTGTGTGCCAGCTATTCAGAGGAGAACCAGCAGTTGTCTGCCCAACCTCTTGCACCAATCAATTCGTAATGACCCACATATGACCCACAGAACGCGGATGCGTGGTGATGTTCTTCAAGGGCTTAACTCTGATCCATACAGAACCCTGTCGGACCTGATTGTCGTATCGAAATTCAAGATACGCATTCTCATATCTCAACCGTCGTTAAAAAGAAAATCTGAGCTCAGAATTTCAAATGCCGATTTTTTTCGAGGCGCACAATACAAGCATGGTGCTATAGTACATATGCGCGAACGAAAAGTAAGTAATACTGCCTAGGGTGCTTTTTTTGTTGCCTCGAAGATAAACATGTGATTGATGTGTGAATGAGCTCCCAACAACTTCTAAACGAGGCACATTGCATGAATAAACATATGAAAACGACACTGATGCGACCGTACTACAATGATCAATCTACGATGATATAATGATATGATAAGGACATACAACGTTATTCTGTTGTGTACCATCGGCCATATAAGTTGTGGTCCCTGAGTGATGTAGTTTAGATGTAAGCTTTCAAAAGCAGAATATTGTTGGTAGTCAGAAATTCTGGCAGTGGAAAGTGCTAGGCAGATCAAGGCGCTATAATAGGACAGGAACTCCAGACGGAAAGCGGTCCGGAGAGTGTTCTGTTGTGTTACTGTAATATACCATATTTTAACGGTCGGAAGAGCAGGTAATCTCTAATGCCGTCTTCCCTAGCCGAGCTGATGTGACGGATTCCGGGATCTTTCGCCTCCTTTTAGTCGTAGTACATGAAGATGTCGCCATTAATATCAAGAATGCAATATCACTTATAGTACTATACATTCGATGAATAGTTCAATCTCGCGAAGCTTGATTTTTCTGCCCCCAATTGATCTATATTGAATGCAACCAAAGCCAGCAATGAGGTATTGTTGGCAAGGAATCTCCCGTTCGTGTGCGTGCGTTTAATTCCGATGCAGGCTATAATAGTGGATCTTGTTTGCTTAGCACTTGCAGGTGAGCATGCATTGGGAATCAAGGTCATAATCAAAATCCATATATCGAGAATTATAGTATGTTGCTTTGTTTGTCCCGTCTAATAATAACTAGAAATCCATTAAACTTATCATATCCAAAGAAATCCTCCAGGGTCCGTTTCCTATCCTAATTACGCCGATCGTTACAGTAACTCAATCTTGTCCAGTCTTTGGCAAGCTAAGGCTAATCACACTGTTGCCACATATTCACTTGGTCCACAATCATTTGTCCACTCTTCTCCCATGTAGGAAGCCACTCGTTTCGGGCTTTCCAGAAATCGAGCTTTGCAGATGCACTTCCATCGACCCATGGCTTTCCATCTGCTCCATCCAGGAACCAGCCGTTCTCCCCTCCAACAGCAACGTTTAAGATAAGATAAAACTCTTGATCAAACGGGGTATTTTTTCGGCCCGTTTGTGACCATGGATCCACGATCGCTGTTCCATTGGAATCGCTCAAGGGGAAATTTCCCTGTTGCCACAATGGACTGGAAAACGGCCAATACATGACTTGGCGCAGCGTGTTATCGATATACGCAAAGATAAACTTCTCGGTCCACTGCAAGCCGTAAAGGTGGAAATCATCACCGAACTGGGAATGCAAAGCAGCTCTCACGTTGGTGGTCTTTTTGTATGCATCGCTGGCCAAATCTGGACCCCAATGCAAAGAACTGGATACGAAATTGTTGCCGCCAAGACTGTAGGTGTAGTTGTTGCCACGAGATTCCATGATATCAATCTCACCACTCTGTGGCCAGGATCCATAGGTATCCTCAACTGGCAGCATCCAAATGGCTGGCCAGAGCCAATCTCCTTTCGGCAGCTTAGCCTTGACCTCAACTTTCCCGTACTTGATGGTGGCACCAATCTTGGTATTGATGCGAGCGGACTTGGCTGGTTGCACGATAGTCCCGTTGGTTGCGTTTGTAGAAGTGACACAATTGACAAGTATATTGGAGGTGGTGGTGCAAGTTCCATCAGCGGTGAGATTGATGATATTGTTGGTGGTGATCAACGATGCATCTTGAATTGTAGGCTTAATGTAAAGCTGCCCATCTCGAATGAACAAATTCTCGGCATCTGTTGTGGTTTGCTCAAATTGGCCATTTCTGTTTTGATTGTCAGAGTCTGAATGCATGTACGTAAGGGAAGAAACTGACCCGTAGCCTCCTACTTGAACTTCTGTTGTCCAAATTTTTGGATCTAAAGCACCAGAGGAAAAGTCTTCTAAAAGGACTGGGCAGTACTTGTGGTGTGTGATTTCAGATAGTTTCAAGTAAATAATGAGACCAGTTAGACCCAATCCAAGAAGCAAACCGCAAAGAGGGAAAACCCATAAGAGGGTCTCCTTCTTTGCCTTCTTGTTAACTGGAAGGGGTATAGCATCTGCTTTGCGGACGCGACGAGATCGAAAGTATCCTGTTCCAGGGACTTCGGCATACTGAAATCCAGATCGAGCCCCAATTGTCGAGGCAGGTCTTGAATATGGAGGTGTCGCAAATGGATTAGAAGTACCAACAGGAGTCTGTGCACGGCTGTTTTCCTCAGATTGAGGGGTACTCTTTGGAGTGTTGACATGAGATATGACTTTCTGCATTTTTGCTGTAATAAGAAACGAGTGATGCTAAAGTAAAAAGTTGCACTATCAAAACTCAGACAAAGCTCGAGGAGATTTCACATTATAGCCCAATGCTCCAAGCGATCACCACAACTTGTTTCCTGAAAAAATAGAGTATTCTGCAAGCTTTGGCAGGACCCTTATCGGATGTGCGATGGTCGAGAAGGTGTATTGAGGACCCGCAGTCTACATGGGGCCCCTGTGACGCTAATAGTTCGTCAAATCGGAGTTTCCTTGATCTAAATGTCTAGCCCTGGCAACACAACACGACTATTGACGGAGTAGACCAGCAAGAATTTCAATATTGTTCAGCCTTAACTATCGCCCACACCTTAAGGTGTTGAACTGTTCTGGCCATGGCTCTTACAGTCATTACCCATGAATGTTACATTCATTGAAAAGCACGACAATGAAATACTTGGCTACTCAACATAGACCCCACTTTGCATTTTGAAGTAGGATTGAAGTATGAGAAAGGGGGTTTAATGAGAATCCCTTCATTGAGTGTTTATCTGCCCACTTTGTTAAAAATGTTAAATGAGAATATTCTGAGCCACACGATGAAGAAAAAATTGGCCTCGGATTTTCACGTCGCACATTGGTAGAATGGACGTGCGCCCACGACCCATTTCGACACAACAACATGCTATGAGGGTTTCTTAGTGCACGTCCATAGCCACCACGTGTGTTGTCTTCATCGTGTCACACACTTCTTTTCAGGTCTTCCTAAATTATGTGGCGTCAAAGGTGTTGTTATCTCACCCGAGAAAGTGAGATTATTGATCAAGTTGTGACCTGTGTTAAGACCCGTCATCTCTTGACCTGTGGGTATAGGATCAAATTTTGCCCAGCTTATCCCCGGACATCTGTTTTAGGGAGACTTAGGTTCTATGAGGCGTAGCGATGACCCTTGATTGAGAGCAAAGTTGGGGTGAAACGATGAGAATAGCATCGCTTTTTGGATATCTGAGTGGCCAGATACTGTTGTGGAAATGGTAAAGAGGCTGAAGGCGTTCAGCTGGAATATGAGCTTTGAAAGAGAAGGTGATCGTGTACCTATAGAGAAAAAGTATAAAGAACTCCAGATCTACAGATGAATCCAGAAAGAATCAGATCAGCACAAAGCTTCAGTCTTCCTTTTCTAAATAACACCTTTCCTGCAATCCTCGTACAGAACAGAACCATACACCGCAAACATGAAATCAACAATTGCACTCTCGACTCTTCTTGCGGTAGCCACAGCGACTCCCTTCCTCAAAGCTCGAACTCTCGATATCTCAGCATATAAAGCTGTGCCAACCGCTCCTGTCAGAGGAGCCCCTGCCGGCAACACGGCCACGGCGAGTATTACATACAACCCCTCATCTGCAGCAGGCGCCGCCATTGCAGCCGCAACTTCCTCTGTCGCTATTGTCAATCGTAGACATAAGCGTAGCTCTTGCTCGGGTACTTGCGCTGTCTTGGCTGCAGGGAATGGGCCTAGTGTTAACAGCCCGGATACTGCGGTAGCCTTTCAGGCGGATCAGAATTTCGCTGATGCAGCACTGAATGCTGTGACTCCTCCAGGCTATGCTCTGGTTGATGGATTCAAGAATGTTGATGCAGCTGCTCAATCTGCTACGTATCTAACATACATCTCCGACTCTGTCACTTCTTACGATTCTGCAATTTGTGCCAATGCATGCAACAATATCCAGGGGTGCACGTCTTTCAATATCTGTAAGTCTGCCCTTCCAACGTAATGCACCGAAACTAACGAATGTAGTCTTCGAGAGAGATCCAACTCTTGTTCCGGATACAGAGGACTGTCCAAACCCTCCCTCCCAAACCCTTATAAAATGCTCTCTTTTCGGTGGCTTGTTGGACGCTTCATCGGCTACAAACAGCGGCCAATGGCAAGCTGATTTCCAAGTTGTGATTGCTGGTTCGAACGCGTACAATTCAGTTGCGCCTCCAGCGATCCCAGGATATGGAGGAGTACAGAACTTTGGAACTGCTACCGTAAATGCCCCTGCAAATACTACTACATATAGTAAGTGCCGGGCAATTGTTATAGACCTGAAGCCTAACAAGAGTTTACTAATGGATAAATAGTGGGAGTGGGAGCTTTCCCTCAGACTCAACCATACGATCCGACTGTCTGCGCTGCTGCTTGCAGTTCAAAGAGTAACCCTAGCTGCGCATTCTTCGTATCTTTTATCTTATATGAAAATGGACAAAATGGTGTATTGTAAGATTCCACCTTCCTCAGATATATCTCTTTTGCTTCATTTATGCATTCTTGCCTTTCTTTCCAACTATAAATGGCTTCCTTAGATGGCAATCACTGACCCGCCGATTTCATAGTACTTGTACATATTTTACTGTCCCTTACGGATCCGACAGAGCGAACGAGATCGGTCAATACGATGCCCAGGGAAATCATTACACGATCGGCCACAGCTTTGGATTCACTGTCGATGGCGTCACAGCTGAATGAATCGAGCAAGTGCTCATATCACCGATACCAAGGTAGCTGCTGTGTCTCTTTTCGAGGGAGAAGGAGGAAGGGGGGGGCTGGTTTTGTTGGGAAGGAAATAATTGGAGGAATTAATTGAAAGATTTAGTGTGGGGAGATTTCAATAGCTTGCCTTTTTTATGAATTGAATTTTGAATTTTCTGCGAACAAACCATTAGATCCATCGGTAGATCCCGACTGTGCATTTTACAATCGTGCCACTAGTGATAAATTCCTCCCATATCATTGTCCCAAATGATGTCATCGTGTCAAATGATATACACCTGGCATGGATGAGGCATGGAGGAGGAAATTGAAGTTTCAAACGATTCAACCTGCAGCCCGAACTTCACCGCCGGTGGTTTCGAATATCCTGGCATGACTCAATATTTCGGTTCACTTATCTCTTAGATAAATTTCATATTTCAGGCAAATGCTAGAAGCAAGAATAGGCCATGGCTGAGTGGCAATGCGACAACTTAGAAACAAGCAAGAGCAACTGCGAAACAAACAAACAGATCTAGGGCCGTTTACGCAATCAGCAAGAGTGTACTCAGAATAGTGTGCAACTGTACACCAGGAAACAACCTGTTGAATACACACGGCTTCTCATCTGTTGCTATATACACCCACAATTGACAATGATGAGCTGTTTCAAGATCATTAATAATATTCGAAATTATCGGTCCAGGCGTATCGGCTTTTATCTCACGGTGTATTCCCAAGCGCTGAGACCCGTGCTTGAAAGATGCCGAGACGAGTCACCAATAACTCAATGTGGGGGGATACGAATGCTGTCAGACTCGACCGCAAGAGTGACCGTGTGCAGCGATAACGAAGCGATAGGTATGTAGATAGAGGGCTAGGAGTCGTAAAGAGGTATCTTCGTGGTTATCTTGGACACCAGTCGCAGCCGTTTCGAGATTGTTAAGGGTGATATTCACGCCTGGCTCAATACACCTGCGAAAGCTTCAAAATAACTGAGGAGGAAAGGGCAGCTCTTTATACTCGACCACCAATCCTTCTAGTGCCCCTCAGCTCAGCCTCAGCGATAATCATTTAGGGCTGATGATGTCAAAGCACCTTCAAGAACCATGATTCCCTCGCACGATAGGTCAGAAGGATTAATGAAACCCGACGATAATTGGTCGACCAGCATAAAAAGATTTATGGTTAAAATAAAAGTTTTTGATTCGGCGAGCAATATTGGATTGATTCCGAATTGATTATTGAATTAATATTGGATACATCGATAGATGTGTTTCAAACCCCAACCAAACTAGTCAATAACACGATAAAAACCGTCCTTTGTAATCACGTTACATGCAAAACCCTCACATTTCCATAAATATCCTTAAATAAAAAGTCTTCCGATCCACTTGAAAACTTTGTTTGTGAAGGGATATATGAGGAAGTCGAGCTTCCTGAGCTTTGGTTGGTTACTGGTAGCGCCTATCAATGTTGCACCACCAATCATTGTAGCTGTCACAGTACATGTTGGCGCTAACAAGGTTTCTTCCCCGCGTGCAAAATAATCGGATAAATCGAATTCGTCGAATTATAGCGGTAAAGCAAGCCGAAATCTATTTCCAGATAACGAGCACAGTCCCAGAATGTGATTGTCTCTGGGATCTTTATTTTGAGCTGCATACATCGGGGATTTATGGTGTTGTTGAAAATTGATTGTTGATGTATATAGGTGTAGTATCGTGCTCTTCCCTCATGGATTGTAATATTTGTGCTCCTGGTGAATTGTATAAAAATTCGAAATTGCAGTATTGCGGAATCATTCCTCGTCATGTCAGATAAACCAGTCAGTATGGGTCTACAATTATTTCCACCTCCACCATCAAAAAAGAAGACTTGGAGAAGTAACAGCGATGAGCGCAATATTTCCACATCCATGCCCGATCCCGATCCAGCTCATCGATCGCAATCGCTCGATATATTCGTTGATGGACGCCAGTCACCATTCGGTAGTCGCCAAACTCCACAAGATAGCAGAGCAGCGCTCATGAACGTGCCCCCTCCAGCCGTGCTTGCATCGGGTCGTCCAAGATCTCACACTTCTTTTTCGGAAGCACCTACACTTGTGAGAAGCAACAGTAATTCATCCAAATCTAGTCAGCACCATCAACGAGAAGAGCCAGTAATGAGATCCATTTTTCCAAGATATAATCCCGAAGTCCCATTAGAATACCAGCAGTATTATCCGACACAGCAAAGCCCACGACACATTCCACAAAACGCAATAAGTAGACAGCCATATTCTCCAGGAATCAACGAGGTGAGCCCCGGAATGGGCAGTCCAATGTCGTTAGGCCCTCAATCTCCGAGATTGGTTGGACGAGGACTTCAAGACGAGACATGGCCAGAACCATCGAGCTCCACCGACTTGAAGGAGTTATGGAAAGTGAGCAATGGATGGAAAGCATCAGCATCTGAGGGTCAAAAGTTCATCATGAAAATGAATAGTGCAGTAGAAGAGCCTATACACACTCTTTCCTCCGCTACCCAGCCGTTTTATACACTGCGTCTTGATCCCACTTCAACTTCAGCTCAAGTAACAATGACAAGGCAAAACCCAGCCAAGCCACCGAAAAAATCGCAGTCTCCAAGAACTGGTGTATTTCCGAAGGGTGATTCTCAGATGGAAGTGTTGATCACAACTCTTGAGGAACATTCGCGGCGATTGCCACCAAATGATGGTCTCGTAGCTCTTCTCTATCCTCATGCAGCCTCGACTATGGCAGTCGATCTGGCTGGACGTTCAAACGTTGCAGACAGCGCTTTAGTATTGGCAGCAGCCGAGCGCGAATGCGGGCGATTGTTGTGGGATGACGATACAAAGAAATTCTATCTCAGGCACCCCGCAGTCAATACTCCATTTCTAATAGCGATAAATTCATCGCCGGCATGGTCCAGAGTTGAATACACGCTTGAGCATCCAGAACTACCACATAACCTTGTGCGTTTAGTGAGAGATGGTAGTGGAACAGGATTCTTAGAAATCGATACAGGGGTAGCGGCTAGAATAGACGCGTTCTATATCGTGGATGTAGCGATTGCCGCTATTATGCTGGCTGCAATGGATGAGGAAAAGAGGATGCATATTGAGAGGTTCGAGGCACCTCCGGCCGCACCAGTACAACCTGATACACCAAGATCAAAAAGGAAATCCTTCTTGCGAGGGGATCAAATAGAACTGGACATAGAGAGTCAACAGAGTCCAAATTTTAAGATGGTCCCATCCAAGGAAAAGGATAAAAACAAAGAAAAGGTACCAGGATTCTGTGGATTGCTCTGGATGATGGTGAAGGCCATTGCTTGGATCTTGAAAATGACAGTGAAAGCAGTAGCGGCTATTGTAATTGGGCTCAGCAAATGTTTGACCAAGAAGAAACGATAGCATTGGACAAAAGGGTACACATGGCGTTTTTGACATTTGATCACGACTGGTAATGATTTGGACTCGGTTATGAACATAATTTCCTTCCTTGGGCTATACCCGGGGTATCTTATTACTATCGCAGGCCGATGAAGGGGTCGCACCCAGTATGATTCTCTTTGGCCATTATCGTTTCAGCATGCAGCCTTCGACATGACTGCAGGCCAGTTAAACAATTTTATCTCTTCCTTTCTCGCGCCTTGAACTTGACTCCATTCTTGTTAATACCGCCGATCGTTAAAGATTTGGCCATTTTTGCTCGTTGTAAATCCAAAGCCACCTCTGCATCAGTCAGGGCTTTAAGCCGTTGGCGTGCAATCGATAATTTGACTTCCAATTTATCTGCCTCCTTTTCCCGAAGTTTTCGTAGATTTCTGGTTGCTATGTCCTCCTTTGTATCCTCATCTTTCTTTGCGTCATCGGATCGATCATCCTCAAAATCAAAATCCATATCCATATCCATATCCATGTCTGAATCATCCTCTCCCACCTTTTCTCTCTGTTCTTCCTCGTCTTCCACAAATACAACTTTCTTTCCACGTGCTCTGATGCCCACGGCCCTCTTTTCTAATTGTTCGACTTCTTTCGCTGTCTTATTCCTCTCCGTCCGTACATAGCCCAGATCTTGTGTCTTGAACAATCGCACAGCATCCTGATTTAAAACTTGATTGCCTCGATCCCCGTTCACAGTTCCGGTATATCTTTTGCCGGTTTTCACAGGACCCTTTTTGCCCACCATCCCAAAGTAAAACTCATCGGGATTCTTCTCGAGCACTTTTTGCTTAAGCACCTTAAGCTTTGCTTTCTTCTTATTGAAATCTTTCGCTCTGGCAGAGTAATCCTACAGAGTTAATTAGTATTGTGCAGTATATCACAGGTTAATCACTCGACAAAATTCATACCTTGTGCTTTTCGAGAAGTCCCCATTTCTTGCGCTCTTCGGGTTGCGATCTCTCTTTATAAGTGCGCCCATCGCGGACTGATTTACTTGCTTTATCCATCTTCTAAACAATGCACGAATTCAGTCAAGAGAAAAATTTGTAGCTTTAAATCAATTTGTCGTATGAATGGGTGAAAAAGGATGAGCTTTTTGATGTTTTTCTTAGATGCGGGATTGTCAAGTAAGAAAGTTTGAATTCCGATAGACAAAATTTCGACAAGGGTTGACCATATGCGCTAAGAAGAACTAGTTCAACTTGGGAAACTACCTCAGAACATTCGATTTTCTTTCAAATTGCGTTGTGAGATAAATTATTGTCGTACATCTTCGATTCGGATTTCTTTTCAATTGATTTCATATGGCAGCTATGACTTCACAAAAGGAGGAGGTAGAAAAGGCTCCCAGGCTACCCATGCCATCGCGGAATCCTCTACCATTATCCGCAGCACAAGAAGCCCAGGTCCAAGAAGTTTACCATACTAGAGTACGAAGTTATTGTGCGGCAGAAATTAAGGGTATGCATTCGCATAGATATGGCTGAGAAACAGTTACTGATACTTAGCATTTAGTATTCGCGGAATGTGCCCTTGGAAGAACCTTTACTGCCCCGTTCAAATGCAGAGAACAAAATCGAGCAATGAACAATTGCATGATATCGCATGCCACACAATCAGAAAAGGATGCAGCTAGAGAAGAGTGGTTTTCTCTGAGATTACAAAGACAGCGGGATCGTGAAGCAAAGGAGGCGAGGAGGAAGGAACAGGAGAAATTTCATAGGGAATGGTGGGGTTTACCAACCGAAGACAGAGAGGGCGAGAAAGGCAAAGAATTAATGAGAAATGCTGAGAGAGTCGGTGGGTTTCCAAAGAGGGATGAAGGACAATTGAGCAAAGACCGGCATAGGTGACCGCGTTTTTCACCTGTAATCTGGGGTAGCACCGGCGTTGGGGTTCTTTGCAGCATTTTCGACTAGCGTATGGAACGCTTGACTGGGGATTCATGTACGACTATACTGATATTACATCAAATCGCATTTCTGGAACGGAAGAAGAATTTGAACCGGACTTTTTGGTTTAAAAAATTCGATGCCAGTGGCTGGCTATATTTGCCACTTCTATTGAACATTTGCAGGCAAGTGCCATTATCTTTTGACCGATTTCTTTCTGGTTATCGAAGCTCATCTCAGAAGCACAACGCTCTCGTCGTTTTGGGGTTCTGATACCGTACATCATATGCCTCATTGGTCCATTCCTGTACTTCTAGTGATTTTCACCGTCATTCAATGTTGAGACAACGCATGCGAACTATATGAAGTGAAGCAACTCCTAATTTATAACTACCTGGAAGTTGCTCTCAGTCTGTTCATCGATGGCACGTTCTTTGTTCGGTCTCTCGGAAGCTGAACATAATCATATTCAGACTCATTTTCTTTCGGGCTCCATGGAACCATCAAGCCCAGCAGATTTGCATTCGAAGATTATATTCGATTATAGTTTGCAGAGTCTAGGGGCTCTGCATGTTACATTTTAATACTACACACATCAGTTATTTTTTCGGGGACTTGGCCGTTGCCTAGGGCAACTTGTATTTTCATCACTTAAACCACTTTCCTACACTTTCATTGCGTCTGCCTAATCTCCGTCTTTGAAACCAGCGAGCCAAATCTCTTATCATGGGTCTGGAACGATTTTTGTATACCAATCATTCACTGCAACGAAAAAAAGCTTTCGAAAGATTTCAATGTTTAAGACCAAAAGTCATCACGACAATTGAAGGCAGCATCATCCAAAACCCATCTTTTCTATCATAGCGTGGCGCATGCTATTCCTGAACAGTCTGGGAACACCTACTAATATTTTCTACTTTAGATCCAACTAGGATCGTAACGCTATTATCATCGAGCATCAATAAAATGGGCGATACTACGACGATGTCGACGGTACCCACGATTTTGACAGCGACACCCGCTTCTGATCCCTCCATCACACCCTCTAATCTTCCCGACGAACCTCCTCTTCGACTCCCCGAAACAATTGGTGCTGTCATCGAGGTCCGCACCTCTCCAAAAGGTGGCCTGGGTATATTCGCCCTCTGTACCATACCAACCAACGTTCTCCTCCTAAGCGAACAACCTCTTGTTATTCTCACCGACACAGGAACGCGCACTGATCCCCTTGACGAACTCGTATCCGCATTATCTCCTTCTCGCAAATCTGCATTTCTGTCCTTACATGCTTATCAAGCAAATCCTCGAGAATCCAGAAATAGAAGCATTTTATATAGTAATGGATTTGGAGTGGGTAAAGTGGAAAACCTGTCAACGGGCATTTTCGAAACGGCTAGTAGATTTAATCATGCCTGTACACCAAGTGCAGAGTATAGATGGGAGGTGGATGTGGATGGGGTAGGAAGAATGAAATACTTTAGCAAGAGAGTTATTGAGGCGGGAGAGGAAATAACTGTAGATTACGGACATGGAGTTATGGGATTGAAGAGGTTTTACGGGTTTGAGTGTGATTGTGGGAAATGTAAAGGGGTGGAGACACGGGGTGGGGAAGGAATGGCGGAAGGAAAGGATGTGGAAATTTTGGAGGAGGTGGAACTCGAAGGGGTTGTGCAGTTAGACTGAAGGGTATAGAATTGAAAATGGCAAAATCTGGGATGGAACCGGGCACTCTAGACTACTTTTGAGGGCAAACTTTTGGATATCTGAAAGTTTGCTGGACAGTAAAGGAATCCGACACATTACAATATCTCCTTGAAGAAGTCGTTCAAGGACTGCGAGGAAATCATTGCATCAAGATTTTTACCAAGCCCCTTGGTACACCATACCTTTTCAATATACCACACGTTGACATAAAACTTACCTGGTGTTGTACAATCATATAATTGTGAAGCCTCGTAAATGTTCAAGGAGAGTTTAAAGGATTTCGGGATCATAGCGATTTCCTCTTCATATTTTTTATTTCGGCTCCCAAGTGTGAAACCGTAAGATAGTACGTGCAATGCACACCATAATGCACAATAGCTGTGTCTCGTTTCTGAGTTTTACAACAGTATATCCGGAGAATTGTCAATACTTGAAAATCGACGCATGTTTGAGATGTCGGAAGAGCTAGGAACAATTGAAAAATTTTAAATGTTTGAAAACTATAAACATTTGGAAACCTAATTATATACAGGAATTATCCTACAACAATTATCAAACCCTCATATATCATATATCGTACATCGTACAACTTCGTCGCTGAAAGACAAGATAATATACATATCATACAATATGCAACATGCTGCTTCATCTAACCCCCAAAATTCCATTTAGGGAATATAGGAAGCAACATCCTGCGCGACAACGTCACCTAGGCCAGTCAACACCAATTGGCGTTTTTTGTTTTGTTCTTTTCCGAAATCTGACTCGGTACCGGTGGCTGCACCTTTGACAATTCCTGGCACACCCGTTGGGAGAAAGCTCGTGAAGACATCGGTGACATCCTAGGCGGGAATTAGTGAGGTGTTAACAAGGAGTCAAGTAGAATAAAAATTAGTGAAACTAGAAACTTACTTTTTGAAGTCCGGTGGCTGTTTGATCTGGAATTACATCGGCCGCGTCGGATTGGCGACGCATCTGATGGGGGGATGTGTTAGTCCTGGTTTTTATTCATTGCTAGGTATCTATGTGAAGTTGATAGTAGGATCGACATTAACGCCGCCATTATTGGAAAAGATTTGATTGCCATTGCCGAAAGTGTTGCCATTTCTAGACAGTGAATTAGTGAACAGTCTGAATATATTTGGGTATAGAAGAAACTTACCCATTGTTTGAACCTGATCCATTACCATTACCATTTCCATTCCCAGAATTGGAAGAACCAGCAGTATTGGAGCCACCATTACCACCCAAAGTGTCTGTAGCTGTGCCAATAGCGCTCGCAGCATCTCCAGATGATGATAGAGAATTGGTAATGGGATCGATGGCAGCAACCCATACACCATTGACGTATGATGATAGAGTAGGGGTTTTTGATTTCCTTACCTTATTGAGGATACTGAATCCTGAGTTTCCTGACCCGATAGAATTCTTGTTTCCAAAAATGTTGCCGTTGCCATCTGAACTTCCGCTGTCATCTCCATTGCCGTTTCCATTGCCCCAGTTCTCGTTTCCGGCACTATTGAAGTCAGTATGAGCACTTTGAGACGAGTGGAAAATTGTGTTCATTAATCGGGACTAGCCGGCTAGGATAAGATCCCCTGTCTAGATAGTTCTGAGACTTTCAATATTGAAATTGAAGGGCTTAATAGTCCGAAAAATTCGAATGCTCGAGATACTTTCGACATTCAAAGATCACTGAATTTTGGATTGAAGTATGGGATTATAAACGCTCTAGAGATAAGGAGTACTCACGAATTACCATTACCATTACCATTCAAGTTGCTCAGGGCACTGCCCAAGACATTTGAGCCATCACCACGCTTTAAGATGCTTATCCCCGAGTTATCACTTCCAATAGCATTCCCGTTGCCAAATTCATTGCCATTTCCATCCCATGATCCTGATCCATCACCATTCTGTGTATTTGGTTAGCTGTGTTACGCAGAAAGTGCAAGGATACATACACCGTTACCATTATGGGCATTGCCATTTCCAGCAGCATTGTGCCCACCGTTAGAATTCAAGTTTCCGAAAGCGCTGCCCAAGACATTTGAGCCATCACCACGCTTCAAGATGTCGATACCGGAGTTTCCACTACCAATGGCATTTCCGTTCCCGAAAACATTTCCATTTCCATCATTCGATCCTGATCCATCACCGTTCTGCATATAATTAGCCAAAGGTCTCAAAATACCAAGGAATACATACCTCATTTCCATTGCCCTTATTTCCATTGCCAACGGAATTGCCCTCGCCATTCCAGTTCAAGTTACCGAAGGCTGAGCCAAGACTTGAGAATTTAGAAGATGGTACGGGCGCAGAAAGAACAGAAGCTGTGAGGGCAAGAAGCGCCAGAACGTTCTTAGTTTGCATGTTGAAACTTGGTATGATAGATGCCTTGTAATAATTAAAGGTCGTACAATGGATGGTGCTTAAGACAGTATTGAGCAATGTGTAATGAAGTAGGATTTTATGAGGAAGTTAATGATACCTGGATGAAGGGCAGATCGATATTTATATGCAAATTTCTGTCCATATTTTGTACAGATGGGATGGAGTAGATATCTAGTCCTCCACTGGCGTTCTAGATTTGCAGATCTTTGAGCGCTTCACGAGGACCGATGTTCGATGGAAAGAGGCATTCACTTCTTCGGAGGATTGCCGAAAGGTGCTTCAGAAAAGGCCCAACCAAGTTATTGACGAGAGATCATATCAATGATGCTCAATGTATGTGGTGGTGATTTGGATCATTGAAGAGGTGTATTGAGGGATGATCGGATTTACAGGTAAAGATCTGCGCTACATCCTGCGGTTTACAGCGTGGCTTCATATGTTAAAGGCTAAAGAAGCTAGCACCGGAGATTTACAAGCATAAAATGTAAATTAGACTTTTGATTCTCATTTGATATAAATGAAAGCCACATTCGTCAGATTAGGAAGTATAAAGTGGGTAGCCTGCTCCGATTAGGAATACGAACAGACGCTTAAGGTTAGCGAGAACCCCCACAGTCTAAACAGTTTAAGATTGTTGATAAACCCCGGGGAACAAATTCCCCTAGACCTTTCATCTTTGACGCTTACTAATTTATTCCGAGTTAAACTAAGTATCTCGTCATCAATGTCAAAGCAGTGATTGAGTTGTGCACTATTGGAACAGCAACGACGCAGGGTTTCCGGCAGTCTGGAGTAAAATCTGAGAATAGGAAGCCTTCAATTTTACGAATTCTGACAAATTATTCAATCAAAATAATTTGGAATGCTGGATTCAAGGACTCGCGTCCAGTCTACTGGTCTAAACTATTAGAGATTCTACAACGACATGATTTGAAGTGAATTGTGAGAGAAGAAAAAAGAGCCGAGGGAGCTAGGCTTTTCAATAGCTTCAAATGTCTTCTATAAACAGGTGTGATAGGTGTAGTGGAAAATTGAAAGTGCCATCCAAAAGATACCTGTATCCACTGGAAATTGGAAAAAGATGGAGATGGATGGATAGCAGCGAGCCCGAAACATCATTCAATTCCGCAGCGGCAGTTTTTCGTAGTTGAGAGATTTGCCACAATCTGGTATTCTATTGCTGCCTTGCAAATTTAGGTTTCCATAAACAATTTAAACATGCTTAATGAAATGACATTTTGACAGGAATTGCATCTGTTTCTGAGTTCCCTTGCGATTGATCGAAGTTCAGAGTCGCTTGATATCAAGCTAGAGTGATGATTGGGCTAAGCCAGGAGACGCTAGCTGATGAGGTTATTATATGGAGGCACTAGACTGGACCTCGGAAGTATAGAATATTTGAACTTTCTCTCCTCACCTCACTAAATTAAGTTTTAACCACTATGTTGCTAAAAGCTACCTAGTTATCTATCTAGCTGGGTGATTTACGCCTCTTGTCCTGTGATCTTCATGATATGGAGATTCTTACCTTCATACCCTGCATACATCACCGGAAGTATCTCCATCGAGATTAAACTCAATACCAATAGTGCACTGTGCGCCATCCATTTCCTTGCCGGATGGGCAACAAAAAAATAAAAAGTTGTCTGAAAATCACAATTTCACGGTTTCATACAGTAATAATGAAAAACTGCATGGTACATCTACTTCCAACTAACCATCATTCCAGGTTGAATGTATTTAATCTTAAAATCCTAGACTTTGAATTCCGTATGGCCTCCGAAACCGCTGTTAAACATGTACTCGAACAATATTCTCAACTTGGTTGGGTAGACTGACAAATGGAAATTTCTGTTTGTAAGAAACAGTTCAATCATTTGGAAAGATGCTTCCGCACCAAGAATTGGTGTAGATCATCCGCATTGTACTACTTTACTGTCTTTTCAGCTGCCTTTCGAAACTTACTCAATATTAAATGTTCGATCCCGGGAGCTTGGCACCATATTTTGGGCGCCGCCTAGCATATACGGTTATGCCTTATTCCAAGCATCCCTTTCCTTGTGGCGATCGTCCAAATAGTCATTCGACGTCAGCGGTATTAATTTGCCGGCCGTGGGTTGTTGTGGCTCCGCGGTGCAGGTCACCAGTCTTATTTTCCAAGAAATCAGCATCGAAAGGGAGATTTGGACTACCTTTACCCGTGTCAATCTTTTGTAAACATCGATTCTCAGCAAAGATTGCGATGAATTCAATTTTCGTCCCGGTTCAATCAGGTAAGAAAGAGCAAATCAGTCGATTCCGATATGCCGGCCTGGTTCTCTGAGCTAGAGACTTTTCGTTGCGCCGTCGATTATGTGGAGATGTTCCCATTTGAGAATATGGACATATAAGAACCGTGCTTTCCTTTCTCCTTTTTATAACAGCCTCACATTCACAATAATTGCCGTCTTTCATCAATCCATTTACCTCTTATCCAATTCATCAAATCAAACGTCATACCAGATATAAATATACAATCATGAAAGTAACAGCCATTGTCGCACTATTGGCATTAACTGCGAGTGAAGTCGCCGCGTACCCTCGATTGGGTGCAGAACATGCCGAAAGACTCGCAAAATCTCAACTTGGCAAGCGAAGTACGGCTGCTCGTGACCCACTTCAAAAGAGAGCCAGTTTTGATGCTGCGTCGCAGTACGTTAGCACGACAGGAAAGTATGCTTTTGTACCACCAAATTTCGGCGCAGGAGATGTTCGAGGACCTTGTCCAGGATTGAATGCCGCCGCAAATCATGGATACATCCCCCACAGCGGAGTCGGTACTATAGGCGACTTTATTGATGGTACCAATAGGGCATATGGCATGTCATTGGACCTCGGAACATTTCTTGCTATTTTTGGCGCCGTGTTCGATGGCGACTTGCTATGTATTTTTGAATGCTTCCTTTCGTGTTCTGTTACTGACATCTCATAGCTTGGTCAATTGGTGGACCGACACCTAAAGTTAGCCTTCCCCTTGGCAATCTTTTGGGGCTCACTGGAACTCCTCAAGGCATTTCTGGCTCCCACAATAAGTACGAATCCGATACCTCTCCAACTCGCCCAGATCTGTGGCTAGCTGGACAATCCTATAATCTTGAAGTTCCACTATTCCAGAAGTACTACGATGCTTTGGTCGAAGGTGTTGGTGCCGACGAACAATATCAGAATCTTCTTGACTTCAGAATCGACCGCTTTAATAACTCTATCACAACCAACCCCTACTTCTTCTCTTCGCCCTTCGCAGGTGTTCTCGTTTCCCCTGCCGGCTATAATTTCCCAGTCCGAATGATGTCGAACAAATCTGCAGAATTTCCGGAGGGTTCATTGACTAAGAAAGATCTGATGTCTTTCTTTGCCATCACAGGCGAGTCTGGCAACTTCCAATATAACGTCGGCAATGAACGTATTCCAGACAATTGGTACAAGAGAGCTATCGGCGATGAGTATACCATCGCTGGTTTCCTTACTGATGTTGTCGATTATGCTCTGCAATATCCACCTCTTCTTGATATTGGTGGAAATATGGGAGCGCCCAATACTTTTGCACCTGTCAATCTTGGATCTTTGACTAAAGGCGTGTTTCAAACTGGATCCTTACTTGAGGGAAACAACTTGGAATGTTTCGTTTTTCAAGTCGCACAAGCAGCACTCCCAGATATTGCTGCCGGTGCCGTTGGGAATCTTGCAACTACCATAAAGCCATTTACTGACGTTGTTACTCAACGTCTTGGTGGCTTGGGCTGCCCGCAATTACAAGGCATTGATGAAAGTCAATTCTCCGAATTCCCAGGATACACTAATTGCCAGGATGGATGTACGGAGTATTAGGCGGTTTTGAGGGCAAGGGCTGCATGATAGAAGGGAAACATCCTAACGTTAATGATTTATGATTGCGTCGAAGATTATAGCGAACTCTGAAGCAGAAATTATTGATTTCTTTGTATTATAATTTGTATAAATTAATGTAAACTATTAATTGAAATGTACCTACTTTGGGATTTGGGTTCCCAGGAATATGCTTAATTTAGTGTCAAATTCGTCTGGGAATATTGCAAGATACCCGCACAGCTAGCTAATCGTATAAACTTGGCTAGTGTTCTTCGAAATTTCGATGGATGGTGAACAAAATCGAAAATCACGGCATGTCTCTTTTATAGGTATTGACCATTGGAAATATGCTGCACACGTCAAGAGTTTGGCTTGATCTTCATCGAACTACAAAACCGGCGCTGAAATCAATTCACGTACCAGTAACAAGCTTAATCTTACCGATCGCGCCTGCTTGTCAGCCTTGTTAATCTCCATAAAACGAGGCTGAGATCCCCTCATCTTGCATCTCGAACCTCTGCGATTCTTCATTCTCAATACCAGCATTATGAATTTGGCACTAACGGATCCGTTTGTTCTTGCACAAGATTATCCAGAATCATCGACTCTCACTCTTCGCAGCGGCCATGCTTCCTGCGTGCGCTTCAATCGCAAAGGCGACTTTCTTGCCGCGGGCCGCACTGATGGCACAGTCGTGATTTTTGATGTTGAGACCAACGGCATAGCACGGAAGCTCAAAGGACATACACGACAAGTGCAATCGCTAAGTTGGTCGCGCGATGGCAGATTTCTACTCACATCGAGTCAGGATTGGACATGTATTATTTGGGATTTGATGGACGGGAGTATCCTGAGGACTGTACGATTTGAGGCACCGGTATACTTGGCAGAATTCCATCCTTGGACACAGTGAGTCGAAAAATGCCATTCTAGTCTATCTTCAGGACGGTGACTGACTCTTTCTGCTTATGCTAGTTTGAAGATATTAGTCTCATTGTTTGAAGATCCGCCCCTACTGGTAGATCTTACGAACCTCCAAGTAGTGAAATACATTCTACCTTCAACTATTAAAAAACGAACAGTATACGGAGAAGACGAATCAAAACCGATCGCACCACAAACCACAACAGTCGCAATCTTCACCGCCTCGGGAGATCACATTCTTTCGGGTACTAATAAAGGGTGGCTGAACATAATAGAAGTGGCTACGAGGACGGTCATTTACTCTACAAAGCTGTGCACCGGCGTGTTACTTTATATGAGGCTTACAACTTCTGGACGAGACGTGGTAGTCAATGCTCAGGACAGAATTATTAGGACGATCCAGATACCGAATTTATCAGCTGAGGATCTGGACCCTGATACGATAGATATTGAAGTCGAGCACAAATTTCAAGATGTGGTCAATAGGCTGAGTTGGAATCATGTAGCGTTCAGTGCAACAGGCGAATATGTAACGGCTTCAACATTCAACAACCACGATATTTATATATGGGAAAGAAATCACGGAAGTCTGGTAAAGATTTTGGAAGGGCCCAAGGAAGAGCATGGGGTGGTTGAATGGCATCCTCACAAGCCGATGATTGCGGCATGTGGTTTGGAGTCAGGAAGAATACACATTTGGTCCATAGTTCCGCAGCAAAGATGGTCAGCTCTAGCACCGGACTTTGCTGAAGTCGAGGAAAATGTTGAGTATATTGAGAGAGAGGACGAATTTGATATTCATCCCCAGGAGGAAATTCATAAAAGGAGATTGGATGCCGAGGACGACGATATAGATGTTCTAACGGTTGAACCAATCAAGGGTGATGTAATCGACGAAGACAACGCATTCAGGATGCCGGTACAACTCGATGGTGATGATACCGAGAGCGAAGAAGAGTTTGTAGCTGTAGGCAGGGGTGAAATGAGAAGGAAAAGTCCATCGGATGGACGCAACTACCAACTTGATTCGGAAGCAATTGGCAGTGCAGATGAACAGCCTCGAAGGAAGAAAGGTAGAAGACGTTGAATCATGCATTCTTCTAAATTTTCGATGAATGGCGTTTTCTAGGCAAGCATGTGGTCTGGAGTTTAAGGTGGGAAAGATATGTTTTCGGTGGGTACTTGACTGACTTGCATATCATATGCAGCCGTTAACCAATTAATAGCTTACACATTAAGAATGAAATAATCTAGCAACAAACTCAACCAGCACTTCCCTTCGTTATCTTATCTCACAATTTTTGCATAAAGTATTTATACAAGACATGAATCTCCCGTTTCTAGTTTTTCGAAACAGTACGAAACTCTTTGGCCATATAAAAACGCCTCGAATCCTGCAAATCGCTTACACATAACCTTTTCATTCCTGATCCTCCAACCACACCACAGTGTTGTTCACCCGTCTTACATTCCTATCACATCTTTACCTAAAAGGTGGCTGCATCCAGGGTCTTACCCCTCACCCTGAATTCACTTACATAAACAACGTGATAAAGAGCTCTTTCTCACCATGTTATCAAGACCTACTCCTCCTCTTCTCACAATAAAAACGACATCTCTTGTGCCTCCCACAAACCTCATAGCCGTTTCTACAAACACATATAGTTCCGGTACTGGTACGCAATCATCAAGTTCAGAATCCGCAACGACGTTATCGGCTATTTCAGCAGTTGCTAAATCGGCACTCCCGATTTCGAGAGCGGGATTGTCGAGGAAGATGTCGGGATTGTCGACTATGGGGAAGGGAGAGGCGAAGGAATTTGATTATATTGTTATTGGGGGTGGAAGTGGTGGAAGTGGGACGGCGAGGAGAGCGGCGGGACCCAAGGAAAAAGGGGGGTGGGGGAAGAAGGTTCTGCTTGTGGAGGAGGGGAAAAGTGGTGGGACTTGTGTTAATGTTGGGTGAGTTTTTGAGCGCCTTTATCTTGCGTTTGAGCAAGTTGAAACACAAATTTATGGATCCTTGATGTCTGAGTATCTTCATCTTTCTAGTCAATTTGAAGAGGAACCCTTTCTTTATACGTTTTTCAGTAGAAATTCTGTTCATGTACTTAATGCCTCAACTCATATCCTGCAAGGCACTGACAACAACACAGCTGCATCCCCAAAAAACACACTTGGAATTTCTCTTCCATGGCTGAAGCCCTCCGTGCTAGCCAACACTACGGCTATGAAACTCCTTCCAACATTCCCTTCAACTACGCCGCTTTCAAAGCCAAACGCGATGCCAAGATCGCTAATTTAAACCGTGGTTACGAAACTAACTGGGCACGCGAGGGAATAACTCTCGTTCGTGGAACCGCCAAATTTGTCGCTTCGAAAACCATTAGTGTGGAGTTGGAAGATGGAAGTGGTGTTGAAACATTCAAATCCGAACATATCTGTGTAGCTACTGGCGGCAAACCCATTGTACCGAAGATTCCCGGCGCCCATTTTGGTATCACTAGTGATGGATTCTTTGGACTTGAAGAATTGCCCAAGAAAATTGCGGTGGTGGGAGCAGGATACATAGCAGTTGAGATGGCGGGAATGTTGAATGCTATCGGAGGCATTGAAGTCCATATGTTTATACGCGGAGAGAAGATTTTACGGAAATTTGATCCTATGGTTTCGGAGACGATGACGAGGACGTATGAGGAAGCGGGGGTTATCATTCATAGGGGATATAAGGGGTTTGCGAGAGTGGAGATGTGGAGTGGGAAAAAGAAGAGTGAGGAGAAAGTGTTGAACTTGAGATGGGACGGGGATGATGGGAATGGGTTGGTGGTTAATGAGGTACTTTGGGCGGTGGGGAGAAGTCCAGAGACGGAGGGATTAGATTTAGGGGCTGTGGGGGTACTGACAGATGAGAAGGGGTACATTCGGGTAGATGGATTCCAGAACACAAATGTGGAGGGAATTTACGGTCTGGGAGATGTGACGGGTCAGATGGAACTCACACCTGGTATGTATTTTTGTTTTTCCCTGCTCGAATGCAATGAAATGGAGGAGTATCTAACATGTAAAAAGTTGCTATAGCAGCCGGTCGACAGCTTTCCAACCGTCTTTTCGGTCCATCCCAATTTTCCCAATCCGCACTCTCCTATTCTCTCATCCCAACCGTCATCTTTGCGCACCCTGAAGTCGGTACTATCGGTCTTACAGAACCTGAAGCCTTCCAAAAATACGGGGCTGGCAATCTCAAAATTTATCACACAAAGTTCGCAGCTATGTTTTATGATTTCTTTCCGCCAGAAGAGAAGAAAGGTATACCAACTGAGTTTAAAATTATTTGTGAGGGTGAGGAAGAGAGAATTGTGGGATTGCATTTGATAGGACTTGGAGTTGGAGAGATGTTACAGGGATTCGCGGTGGCAGTCAAGATGGGGGCTAGGAAGAGAGATTTCGATGCTTGTGTGGCCATTCATCCAACAAGTGCGGAGGAGATTGTTACAATGAAATAGAGATTGGTGGAGGAAAATGGGAGTGATGTGGTGAAATGGGATTATGGGTATAATAGATTCATGGCTGGGTGGACAGGTAGATGAATTGATGGATTGGAAGTGGTAATAGGTGGCGAATTGAACAAAGCAAATGGGATGGACACATTGTGAACGAAACTGGTACAATCAAGGTCTGGTCATAGGGGTTTTTTGTCATGATAATGAATTATAGACTGTTTTCTTTTAAGCTTGAGCCTGCCATACAAAAGTGACGAGCGAGAACATGTCTGCCTACACAACAACTATCTTGACTGTACCTGTAAATGAGGATGTCTGATCAATCACCCGAAAATCTACTTGGAGGGTGATATGATTGCATTCTAATTTACAGTACTGAATGCCCTGGTGAATATAAGATTACATGTTTGATAGAATCCAGCTCAGAAATTGTGTCATTCATATCACCTAATGGGAACTAGTTTTGTGGCAGATGGGTGCAATCTAACATCAAACAACATCAAAGTAAAGGATTGCTTTGTTATCTCTGGGCCATCAGTCATAGCTTGTAAAGCAATCAATGGCAGTTTGCATCATGCAGGCAATACGTTGAAAGGATCTTCAACTTGAAAGCTCAACCTTTTCAAAGCTTTTACCAATTACCTGGGCAACTATTGCTGAAGAGCTTTTGAGCGCAATACTATTTGAATGGTAATAGTCCAAGACTTGACTATAAAGCTAAGATCCGGGTATGGGTAGATGAGGGTGGAAGGATAGACAGAATTGAGGGGGGTAACTCGTGTAAAAGGAGAGATGAGATCCGAAGAAAATGTCTAATTATGATCAGTGATTAGACTGTGAAGGTGAAGTTGAAAGCACATCTAAGGGTATATTACTTTGGACAAATAGTAATGAAATCACAAATAGCTTAACAGGGCTAGTGGTGAAGAATACATCAAGGTAAAATGATACTTGTTCGTCCTTTTGAACCTTTCTAGGTATAGATATACCATTTTGATTATGAGTTTCAAGCTGTATCTAGAAAGAGATTGTACTAGCTCATAGTTAAAGTTAAAGCTGGGATGAGCTTCTTAGAATTAATTCATTGATAGCAGATACTTCATCAAAGAACAAGATTCACATTTCTTTGAACTTTCTCAAAATGTTGATTTCCTCTCCTTTTTCATTCCCTTCAACTTCACAGGCCGAATGAGTCTTTTCGGAGTGAATGTTTGAAACAAACTCGTCAGCCACATCTCGGATATGATTGGTCCACAAGAATACATTTGTTAACTAACTGTATTAAGTTAATCGGCTATCCGGGAGCCTCATCAATCAGCTTTCTTTCGCGACAGATCAAAGGAACCTCCTCCTCACGAACCCCATCCACCACCATCAACAACAATACGACAATTTGTGGAATCGCACCAAAAGACGTGGATTCCTCATTGCTGGTCTTTCTAAAGAGGAAGAAACTGTATACCCTCTTTTATTGACAGCATCACCAGTTCGATCGAGTCGTTCGGTCGGAGAAATCGAAAATTGTCCTTCAGGCCGAAGGCCTGGCCTCTACCTCTGGATCGCAATATCAACATCCTATCCATCTTGCACATAGACTTGCTTGTTTTTCGATACGGCTCCTTCTGCGAATTACTACGACCATATTTTCGAGGTAAAATCGCGTCGCAACGTTGGGTACAGTAGTTGATCTCTATTTATACCGCTCGTTGCCACACTTAACTTTTTGACCTTCAACCTTTACAACAATTTCTTAATAAATATCAACAACCGCCAATATGGCGAATCTTAATTTTGCGCATTCAGATGCGCCTTTGCGAACCATCGAGGAGATACAATTTGGTCTCTTCTCTCCTGAAGAGATCAAGAATATGAGTGTCTGTCATATTTTGTATCCTGAGACCATGGATGAAAGTAAGATGAAGCCGAGAGAAGCAGGTCTCAATGATCCCCGACTCGGATCTATTGATAGGCAATTTAAGTGTGCTACTTGTGATCAAAATATGTCGGAATGTCCTGGTCATTTCGGTCACATCGAATTGGCTAAACCTGTTTACCATCCTGGTTTCTTGAAGAAGACAAAGAAGCTTTTGGAAATGGTCTGCCACAACTGTGGTAAAGTTAAACTAGACAGGGTTAGTTTGCAACCTACTTGAAGTGGTTTGTTTCATGTGCCTTGATGCTAACATCAAATATCAGAGCAATCCAGCTTACAAGGCAGCTGTCTCCATTCGTGATCCTAAGCGCAGATTCGAGGCCATATGGAAGCTCTGCAAGGTCAAGATGGTTTGTGATAGTGACGTACAGATGAACGAGGAAGAGTTCAACGGAGATCCAAAAGAAGCTGCAAAGAAATCGCATGGAGGATGTGGTAACATTCAGCCCGAAGTTCGTCAAACTGCTTTGGCTCTGTGGGGTACATGGAAGGCACCTAAGGATGAAGATGGAGAGGCAGTACAACCCGATAAGAGACAAATCACTCCGGAAATGGCCCTCAACGTCTTTCGCAGCATGACCACCGCTGAAATTCAGGATGTCGGATTGAATGCAGATTATGCTCGTCCTGAATGGCTGATCATCACTGTTCTACCAGTACCACCACCTCCTGTTCGACCAAGTATTTCCATGGATGGTACTGGTCAAGGTATGCGAGGAGAGGACGATTTGACCTACAAGTTGGGTGATATCATCCGTGCCAATGGTAATGTCCGTCAAGCCCAACAGGAAGGCTCGCCTCAGCACATTCTACAGGATTTTGAAACCTTGTTACAATATCACGTCGCAACTTACATGGACAACGATATTGCTGGTCAACCACCCGCTCTGCAGAAGTCAGGTAGACCTGTCAAGTCCATTCGTGCTCGTCTCAAGGGTAAGGAAGGTCGTCTCCGTGGAAATTTGATGGGAAAGCGTGTCGACTTCTCTGCTCGTACTGTCATTACTGGTGATCCCAATCTTTCTCTTGATGAGGTTGGTGTTCCTCGCAGTATCGCAAGAATTCTCACATATCCGGAGACCGTTACACCATTGAACATCGATAAATTACATCAGCTTGTCAAGAACGGACCAGATGAGCACCCTGGTGCCAAATATGTCATCAGATCTGATGGTACGCGTATTGATCTCCGCCATCACAAGCGCGCAGGTGCAATCTCACTTGAGTACGGTTGGAAAGTTGAGAGACATATTGTTGATGGTGACTTCATTATCTTCAATCGTCAACCATCCTTGCACAAGGAGTCTATGATGGGTCACAGAGTTCGAGTTATGCCTTACTCCACCTTCCGTCTCAACTTGTCTGTTACTTCACCATATAACGCAGATTTCGATGGAGATGAAATGAACTTGCATGTTCCGCAAACTTACGAGACTCGTGCCGAGGTCATGAATCTCTGTATGGTTCCACTTAACATTGTTTCCCCTCAAAGAAACGGTCCTCTCATGGGTATTGTTCAAGATACACTTGCTGGTGTTTACAAGATCTGCAGAAGAGATGTTTTCATTACAAAAGAACATTTGATGAACATTTTGTTATGGGTTCCAGATTGGGACGGTGTCATTCCTCAGCCAGCTATTTTGAAGCCACGTCCTAGATGGACTGGAAAGCAAATTGTCAGTCTGATCATCCCTAAGATCGTCAATTCCTACAACGCCAGCAAGGATAAAGAGCATCTGCATGCGCCATTGAACGATGACGGTTGTTTGATCCAAGAAGGACAGCTTATGTATGGTCTGATGGCCAAGAAGAACGTTGGAGCCTCTGGAAACGGTATCGTTCACATCGTTTTCAACGAGCAGGGTCCAGATGCTGCAATGGCTTTCTTCAACGGTTGTCAACGAGTCATCAATTACTGGCTTCTTCACAATGGTTTCAGTATCGGTATTGGTGATACGATTCCCAACAAGGAGACAATTGAACAGATCGAGAAGGCTATCGCCAAACAAAAGGCCGAAGTCACAGAGCTTGTCGAGAAGGCCACTAGTAACGAGCTTGAATCCCTTCCAGGTATGAACGTTCGTGAAACCTTCGAATCTCAAGTTTCCAAGGCTTTGAACGAGGCTCGTAACACAGCTGGTACAAAGACTGAGGATGGTTTGTTGGATATCAACAACGCTGTACAAATGGCCCGCTCTGGTTCGAAAGGTTCTACTATCAATATTTCTCAGATGTCTGCCCTGGTAGGACAACAATCTGTTGAAGGTAAACGTATTCCTTTCGGTTTCAAGTATCGTACTCTTCCACATTTCACCAAGGACGATTATTCTCCTGAATCGAGAGGTTTTGTTGAGAATTCATATTTGAGAGGTCTCACCCCAACGGAGTTCTTCTTCCACGCAATGGCTGGTCGTGAAGGTTTGATCGATACCGCAGTCAAGACTGCAGAAACTGGATACATTCAACGTCGTCTCGTCAAAGCTCTTGAGGATGTCATGGCTAAATATGACGGTACCGTCCGTAACTCGCTCGGTGATATTGTTCAATTCGTCTATGGTGAGGACGGTCTCGACGGTGTCATTTTCGAGAACCAAAAGATGGATCATATCAACATCAGCAATAAGGCATTTAATGATCTCTTCAAACTTGAAGTTATGTCTGAGCGTATCTCAACCGATGTGTTAGAGCATGCAAACGAACTCTACGGAGATCTCGAGACTCAACAACTCCTTGATACAGAGTTTGCTGCTCTCGAAGAGGACAGAAGACTCCTCCGAGACTTCGTACATTCCCGAACCAAGGAGAAGGATGACGACCACTTCCAACTTCCATTGAACATCATCCGAATTATTGACAGCGCAAAGAGATTGTTCAAGACAGATGACGGAAAACGCAGTGACTTACACCCTAAAGATGTCATTCCAAGAGTTCAACAGTTACTTGATCGCATGATAATCGTCCGTGGTACTGACGAACTTTCCGTTGAAGCTCAATATAATGCCACAATCTTCATCAAGGCTCAGTTCAGATCTCGTCTTGCTTATAAACGCATTGCACTCGGTATGCATCT